CAATATGGTTCGTCACCTGTCAATTTTCTGCTGCGACACCAGTTTCCGGTCACATTTCGCTATCTCTCTCTCTCTACTCATCAATTTTTCCACCAGACGAGAACACGAGAGAACAAATACCAGACTTGTCCTCTGTGTGTATGTGTATGTGTGGGCGTCCAATTGGATTTTAAGCGCCAGAATCTGTCGTGCATGTCAATGCACAAACACTGCACTCCTTTTGATTGTCTGCTCAGATAGTGGAATAAAACAAGCACAGCAGACCTACTTCATTAGATAACCAAATAGGACAAATAGAACCAAGCCCAGTATAAATTGGGTCCAGTCATTGTGTTTCGTTCCCAAATCAAGCTCTGCCCCGTTTTTTCTATGGCATATACTATTTTGTAGGGAATAGCATGATAGACGAGTGAAATCCCGTCCATAGTCACTAGGACTGACTACTGTTCAGTTACGGGAACTGACAACCGGGATTTGGAATGATGAACTGCATAAAACGCAGCCGGATGATAGCAAAGCTGCGTACCGCGGATCTCGGGTGGTGATGTTTCCGTGAAAGAAAAAGCCCACAGCTTACTGTCAGCCATTCTTAATTCGTCTTATTCAGGGCGTTTTGTTTTTTATAAGCCGAAGGACGAGCCACATTGTTCATCGCGCAGTATTCCAATTCGGCACAGTCGCGGGGATTCGTGATCCGGGAATCTGTCAGTATGTTCCCGTCAGATCAGCTGAACGGTGTCACATTCAATCAACCGAACCGCTCCATGGTCACTATCACGATTAAGTGCTGTCTCTTTGTTGGTGAGGGTATTGATTTTGTTCCTACTCACCCCTGTCAGGCAACAACAATCAACAAATGAACACTCAGTTGATGACCACATCACACTGATTACGGAGGTCTTTATGATCTAATACTGCACAACGATCGAAGCCTTTTTTTACCATTTATTTATTGATTTGAATTGACTATCCTTCAGACTTCAAATTCACGCACAATCCTCAGTTCATTCAGTCAACCATACACTCGAAAGCACTAGACTCGAGTTTCGCTATGATTAGAGCTCATCAGTAGTGCATATCCACCATCCCGTCCGGGATTTGAACTCCAGACCCATCGCATAGAAGGCGTGTCGTTACCACTGTACCAACCGGCAGATACCATGGCTTAACCAAATTGCCAAATCACGTTTGTTCAGGTGTCTTCTTCAGTGATAATCAGTCAGTTCATTTGGCCCGACAACAACGAAGGGAGACACAAATGACAATCTGAAACACTGGGCCCCCTTTATCCATCGCACCAAGACCGAAAGAAGACATGTCGCGAGATGTTAACATTCCGTTTAATCTTCTCAATCGCTGACGTATAACCTGCAGTTGCGGTGACGCATACATAGGCAGAACCAACCGTCAATCATCACAGCGGATGGCCGAACATATTCCAAAGTGGTTAGTGAAGTCGATGACGCAACCCAAGCCCAGTAATCAGGCGGTCACACGTAACCCGCGGTCATCAATTGAAAAACACCTCATGACAACCAAGCGTATAATTGATCCCGCTTCCTCTTTGAAACCGTTATTACGTGACTGTAATGGAAAACAGTTGGCAATAAGTGAGGCGCTGCTAATCAGATTACATAATCCCGTTCTGTGCGCCCAAAAGTTGTTGATCCAATCCGTTCACTTGTCGTGGAGTTGACCTATTTTTTCATTCGAATAGCTCCTGTCTAACTGTACATGGCCGTGCAGTAGGATTTACAAATCTAGTGTGCTATAAATGTGCGCGTTTGTTTAACGTCAGTGATCGAGAAGATTAAACGGAATGTTAACATCTCGCGACATGTCTTCTTTCGGTCTTGGTGCGATGGATAAAGGGGGCCCAGTGTTTCAGATTGTCATTTGTGTCTCCCTTCGTTGTTGTCGGGCCAAATGAACTGACTGATTATCACTGAAGAAGACACCTGAACAAACGTGATTTGGCAATTTGGTTAAGCCATGGTATCTGCCGGTTGGTACAGTGGTAACGACACGCCTTCTATGCGATGGGTCTGGAGTTCAAATCCCGGACGGGATGGTGGATATGCACTACTGATGAGCTCTAATCATAGCGAAACTCGAGTCTAGTGCTTTCGAGTGTATGGTTGACTGAATGAACTGAGGATTGTGCGTGAATTTGAAGTCTGAAGGATAGTCA